TGGGCACCTCGACGACATGTGACCTAACTGATTACAGTTATAGCACTTCATCGACTCAGTGCCACGCTGGGTTACATTGCTCTTTCTGACCATCTGTACCTTCGGGACTGAATCTCTGGATGTTGACGCAGCTTGGTCACTCTTTTTCTCGGCCTCGAGCTGTGAAACATAATTCTTGATCTCTTCATATGACATATCTATGCCATTCATCTTTTTACTGAACAAGTTCACTACTCTTAGTTCGCTAACTTGGCCTACAACTGCTTGATAAAAAGCAGCACGTTTCTCTTCAATCCCAAGAGGTACAGTTCCTTCGCAGTTATCATACTCTCTTATTATTGCCTCGAATCTCTCAGCGAAATCAAACATCGTTTCATTCTTACGCATCTTTGTTTGATAGAGCCGTGCTCTCACTGACGACGAGGTGACGTTATTCTCAATTCTTTTAACCTCTTTCAACTTCAAGACAATTTCACGCGGATCTCTAATACCAATAACTTTGTTATGGTAATTTTCATCCATGTGATTTATCATGATGTCTCTTACTACCTCATTGCAAGAGGCTCGAGTCTCCTCGTCTAGAGATTCGTTAGCTTGAACTGCAGGATCTATTACCCATAATAGTCCATTCGTTCCCAACTCTGAGCGCAGGTAGTCCATCCAGAACTCCAGTCCCAACTTTGCTGTTAGTTTATAGTCTCTCTTAATATTTACTTTGGTGTTTTGCTGAATTTGCAAAGTCTTTCTTAACTCTGAAATGTCTCTTGTTAACTCTGAATTTTGACTAGCAAAGCTGTTGATTTGAGTTCCTGATGGACCCTCTGCGACTGGCAACCCATTCTGAATTATTTGACTCTGAATTGCTGTTGGGGTAGAGGAGGCAAAAGGTTCACCGTTCACTCCTGGTTCAGGCTGCTGCCGAGCCTGTTGAGTCTCGTACTGGAGTCTAGCAGTTGATCGACTAGCCTCCATGATGGTTGATGCATGTTTGATTGCTTCTTTGACTTGCTCCGTTGTCATTGAAACGTGGTGCATCGCCTCTTTCAAATCTTTGGCCATTTTACTCTGATTCGCGGTGGCCACCTCGAAGGCTTTGGCCATCGCCAAGTTGCTCTTTGAGATATCACTCAAAGCTCGTTGAAATTCGACTGCAAATAGTTTATTTAAATGTCTGGTTTTAATTCTTACCTCTGAATAAAGTCTTAAATTTTGGATCCAAATACTCTACTTCTAGCTCTTAATTAATTATTTACAGTCACTCTTACTCATTTGTTTGTCGTCCATGAGGGGTCTAAAGGCCTTCTTACTCTTATCGCATCCTGCTCTTATCTCTTCTTCAAGCTCTGAATCTTCACTTTCGTGATCGCTTAAATCCTCTTCAATTGACATCTTATCGTTAGCTTTGCTCTAAAATAAATATACATATATACAGAGTGCG